CGATGACAGAAGCTTAACCCACTGAGCCACCCAGGCGCCCCCAATCACACACTCTTATAGATATCCAGAGATCTATGTCTCTATGAATCCATAGTCCTTCCAAACAACCCAAGCCATAGCCCAGAAAAGCAGTCTGCTTCCATATTCTGCTCTCAGTGCATTGGCCTGGATTTAATTTTGATAAAATAAATCCAGAGAATTCTGACAAAATTACTAAAACCCTCTACTAAGTTGTTAGCACCTGCTCTTTATATATTCTTTATATTTGTCCCTCTGCTTAGCTCACTGTGTCCAGCACATCAATAATCATTTTTCAAAATATGGTTCTTGCCAATAAGAGTTGTGAAAAACATTCAATATTTTTAATAAAAAATAGCATAAGGAATACAAGGCAGAGGATAGAAGGGAAAAAGTCTATATATGAAATAAATATAAGGGAGTTGGAAAACAGAAAAGTTCTCCTCTCCACTATGCAGATTTCTTCCTCCAAAAGAAGATATTCAGAGTTAATTATCCTTTTTTAGATCATGATAAGTAGAGATCCAAAAGCATGTTTCCTATTGTGAACAAGTGCTAGATATTTCAGGAAATCCACCCACATGAAAGACAGATAGAAAGGGCAGGGACAGGGGGAAGGAAAAATAAAAGTCGACTGCAGATGAGTCAGATATCATGCACAGGGAGGGGGGAAATCAGAATATATCTTATTTTTAGCCTCAAAGAATTTTATATCCTTAAAATAAAAATAGATTAATATAGAAAGTCCAAAAAAAGAAGGTCGTAAAAATATGATTGTTAAAATTAAAAATTCAGTAGAAGAGTTGGAAGATAAACTCAAGGAAATAAAAGAAAGAAAGGAAGGAAGGAAGAAAGGAAGGAAGAAAGGAAGAAGAGATAAAACATATGAAAGAGGGCACCTGGGTGGCTCAGTGGGTTAAAGCCTCTGCCTTTGGCTCAGGTCATGATTCCAGGGTCCTGGGATTGAGTCCTGCATCGGGCTCTCCACTCAGCAGGGAGCCTGCTTCCTCCTCTCTCTCTCTCTCTCTCTCTCTCTCTCTCTTTCTGCCTGCCTCTCTGCCTACTTGCGATCTCTGTCAAATAAATAAGTAAAATCTTTTTAAAAAAATATGAGAGAAAAAAGAGAATAAGTTCAGGAGGTCCATCCTCAGGAGCTTGCTGGAGGGGAGGGAGGTGGGAGGGATGGGGTAGCTGGGTGATGGAGATTGGGGAGGTTATGTGCTATGGAGGGTGCTGTGAATTGTGTAAGACTGATGAACCACATACCTGTACCCCTGAAACAAATAATACATTATATGTTAATTTAAAAAAAGAAGTATCAAAGTAATAATTCAAGGCAGTTTGCCAAAGTTAAGGGCATGAGTATCTAAATCAAAAGGACAATTGAGTGCTCAAAAAAAGAAAAATAAAAGGCCAACCCTAAAAAAAATTATCATAAAATCCCTAAAGTAACAAGGATAAGATTCTAAACAATTTTTACAAGGAAATAAAACTTTCACCTCTAAAAAGACACACAATTATCAAAAGAGGAGCTACAGCCAACTAATGAATTTTTTCAAAAAGTCTGAGAGAAAATGTTTTCCAACCCAGAATTTTACACCATGGCAAACTATCAATTTTGTGTAAAGGCAAAACAAAAACATTTTGAGAAATGTTTATCAGAAAAAGTTACCTAAAACATTCTTTCTTAGAAAGTTACTCAAGGATATCTTCTGGTAAAATAAGGTTATAAATTAAATGTCCAGTAAGTTAAGGTAATAAAAAGAGAGATAATCATGCAGTTCAGGACACAGTGGCTCCAACCAAAAAGCAGAATTTCTGGGATGACAACTGTGCAGTAGACTAGATACTGGTCAAAATGGGAAGAGAAGGGTCATCTGGGTGGCTCAATCAGTTAAGTGTCAACTCTTGATTTTGACTTAGGTCATGATTTCAGGGTCCTGAGCTCAAGCCCCACACTGGGCTCCTGCTAAGCATGGAGCCTGCTTAAGAGTCTCTCTCTCCCTCTCCCCCTGCCTCTTAACCCACCCCAAACATGCACATGCACTCTCTCTTGCTCTTTATCAAATACAAAGAAAAAAGATTAGAAGAGGAAGAAAAAATAGAATGAACTAGAAGGAAGAGCTCCAGAGAATGAAAAAAAAAAGACACATTCTATAGATTAACTGATAAGATAAAAACAATTGAGGATATCAAAAATGATAGAAGGAAGAAAGGAAGAAAGAAGGGAAGGAGGGAGGGAAGAAACAGAGACTCAAGGGGTAGGGTGGGGGGAGGAGGGGAAGCTGTGCCAGGAAGGAAATATAATAGTAGAATCATAGTTTGTTCTGAAGGAAAAAAATAAATCAAAGCTATGATGTTGTAAATATATATAAATGATTTAACTAAAGACGGTCATATAACTATATTGAAAAGATGGAGGAGAGAAGAAGGAAACATTATAAAAGTCAAAGTCTCCTCTTCATCATAAGAGCAACCCACTGCATAATGTTTAAAATCAATGGATCGAGTAATATAAATACAATATTTGAAGACATGGAGGTAATTGTCAAGAGAGAGAGGTAAAATAATCAAATATGGGAGCAAGGCTAGCGGGTGGAGAAGGATGGGAAAAGTTAGGCCGGGGACTGCCATTCTTCCTCATGTCTTTTGGCACAGCTTGATATGTGTAACCATGAGCATTTATTACTATGATTTAAATATTTTTAACTATCAGAAACGTATAAAGAGTTTGTTTTTATTCCACAAAGTGAATTTTGTACGTCAGGGTAGGCAGGTTGGAAACATGTCTGGGTCTAGGGCTAGAAAGGGATAAGTTGCCATGGCAACTCTGTGTCAGTAAAGGGAATAAGTTATAAACACCTAGTTAAGGGTGGTATTTGGAGATATTTGGGTATTTGGAGACATACAGAACCACTCTAAGAATTATGCCTGGGCACCTGGAACAACCGCTCTCTCAGTCATGGCAGTGGGCTATTGTAATCAGCAAGGAGAAAAATAAGAAGAAGCCAGATTTCCCTGTCTCCCCAGAGAGCTGGCAACCCCCGTTGTTAGTGAGGTTGGGCTTCTGCTTAAGGTTATCAAAATCTAAAACCCAAACCCAAACAGAATCTTTCTTATGTGAATATTTCTGGGAATGCTATCACTTCCACCTATTATTATTATATAAACAAATGGCTTTCCATCTGCCAGGTCTAATAATGACAATAATTAATGTTAGTTTAAGACAATTTTTTTTACACATCAGTCACCAAGCATTTTTCTATCCCTTATGTCATCTGATTCACAAAATAACCCAAGGATACAAGTAATGCAATTTATTACTGCAATCACACTCTTTTTAGACAAGACATCTGAATTTCAGAAAGTGAATTGCACAGTTTATAGTTAAGTAGCAAGAGCTCTCGAATTCAACTGTGTCCTGATTCCAAATTTTACACTTAGTCTTTGACATCACATGCCTGAACTACAAGCCGATCTATTAATTAGCGTTAACTGACTGCCCACACACAGGGATACCACGAATTACTATACAAATTGTGGCCAACAAATATAAAGGCAGCCATCCAGGTATTGGGTGGGAGCTGAGATCCAGTCTTCCCCCCTCCTGCCAACACTACACCTTAGCTCAGATGTGAGCCTTTTTATAATCTGTACAAAGGTACCAGTTATGTCATGAGGAAGCCTTGCCTGCATACACAAATTAACAAGTTTACCACCCACCTCTCTTCTTTCTTACCTTCCTCCAACACTCCACAACCCCTGCATTGACAGTAGTGGAAATCCTCTTACTGGTTTCTGTCTCACAATAGAAGACACATCAGATTCATTAATTCGTTACAATAAACATGAGACAAATGACTATATGTTGGGGCTATTCCTGGCACTAAGTGTGTAGTGCTTAACAAGGGCCTGATCTCATGGAATGACATTTCTGCCAGGAGAAAGACAAACTAAAGTACCAGAAAACATTAGAAAGGATGAGTGTTACACAAAGTATCAAAATTAGCTGACGTAATAGTGATGGAGTAGCTTAATTCGGGGAAATCAGGAAAGGCCTTTTCACGAGGTGACATTTCAGTTGATATTGAAATGACAAGAGAAAACCCACCAAAAGAAGATCAAGGGAAAGAGGTTTCCAAGAAAATGAAACCGCAATTGCAAAGCCCATGGGCAAGATCAAGCCTGATCTCCTCATCCGAACAGGAGAGAGGCAGGGTGACTGTGCAGTGAGGGTGTGAGAGTGGAAGAAGTGGGGAGGTAGGCAGGGGTCTGCTTACAGCACACTGCAAGCCAGGTGGGGGACGTGGATTCGATTCTAAGGAGAGTGGGGAGGATGAAAGTAAGAAGGGGAGTAACAGGGATTTTTTATTTACCTTTTACAAAGGATCTTCCTGGATGATTTGTGGGGAATGGAATCTAATGGGGCAAAGAGGAAGACTGTGGTCACCTTAAGGAGACAGGGGATTAGCTGTAGAATGCCTTATGTTCCTGAAGTTGCTGAACTGCCCAAAATTCACCAGAGACCAAGCGCACATGAGGCCTCCTCACGGATTTGTGTAACTTTGCTGGGAAACTGTGACTATAGGAAGGACAATTGGTGCTGACTGGCTTCTGCCAGTGTTTACCTCGTTTGCTCTCTGCAGAGTCACTGGCTTCCTCTGGTGAACTAAGCTGTGTGGCTCTCCTGTGCCTCAAGCCCCTGGGGCCTATGTCTTCAAGTGCACATCACACCATGTTTGCTCCACAGAAAATGAGTTCTGGGAGGTCTGCCCTTGTCTTTGCCATCCCTGTGTCCCTAATTATTTAACACCTAGGACTTCACAAAGGCTCAATAATGTCTGGTGGGAAGGATGAATGTTTTATTTGGGGGCTGTGTGAACCCTCTATGTGAACCCTCTTTTCTCTCCAGAAACCAAAAGCATCAAATGATGTGAGAAATGCATCCTGTAGGTAGGACACCCCAAGCCCCAGTCCCTTACCTCCTGGGTGAGTCGGGGTCGAAGCAGGTCTTGTGCACATCAGCCACCTCGGGGTCGCAGCAGTCCCCGTCATCAAAGTCGTTCAGCATGTTGTTGCACTCCACGTGGCAGAGCCCATCCCTGCGGTTCCAGGAGTAGCACCGGCCGTGCAGGCGGCAGTCGCCCCCGTCGTAGCCCGTGAGCGGGTGCTCACACTCAGGGTCACAGTGGTCATTGCCGATTTTGCTGGGCTCACAGTTCACGAGCACAACCCGGTGGCGCAGGGTGGAGTTGTGGACCTGGTGGACACTCAGCTGCCAAGTAATGTTGTAGCGGCTGAAGGCGTCACTCAGTGCCTTGTGCTGCCGGCGGATCTGCTCCTCGCTCACGATGGGGTTCAGGCCCTCATCATCACAGATGTTCACCACCTGGTAGCGGATTGCCTTCTCTCCCTGGAGGGGCTGGTGCCCGTTGTAGTGGGAGATTAACTCCACATTGTCACAAACCGTCCGCCCACAGAGCGGGGGCTGCAAAGGTGACAGAATCTCAGGCTGAGGCTCAAAGCCCTGCAGAACCTCACGCTGTGGGTACTCCCCATCCCTAAAAGGGGCCCATTGTTCTTCCAAGGGCTCAAAACTGGCAGTCAGGATCAGGGTGGTCAGTTCCTCCACTCCCGTTGGATGCTGAGGACTGTGTTGGAGGTGGCTTTGTGGGAGGGCAGTCGACCAGAAGACCAGTGTACCCAGGTGTCCACGAAAATAGTGGCCATGCTCAGAGCTATCCCCCCCCCAGAAGCAAAGAACGACAAGACGCCATGAAGGGACTGTTCAGGGGACCAGACTGCTCTGGACTACTAGCCACCCGAGTGCCATCCACATACAGGGCCATACGCTGTCCATCATAAGTGGCTGCCACGTGTGTCCATGTGCCTGGTTGGTAGCGACTGTGGCCAGTCACAATGGTGGCTTTCTTCACATGGTCGGTGCGAAGGGAGAAGAAGAAACGAGCGTCTCGCCTTCCCATGTCCTTCCCTGAACGGATCCCTAGGGCCCAGCCCTTGTCACTGACAGTGTGGGAGCAGTTATCAAACACACCTGGGAAAGAAGGAAGAATCGAGGGGAGAAATACCAAATATAAAAGGGATGGAGAAAGGGAGAAGAAAACCCATGTAAATAGCAAGAATGTAGGTTTTCAGTGGAGAAAAAATAAGTGATACAGATTCCCCACCAGATATACTTCTCTGGTACCCCAGATCAGCCCATTCTGGCAACATCTATGCCCAAAAGGAATCTGATTTGAGATTCCATCCAATCTAACTCATTCTGGTATTTTTTGATAATCAAAATGAAAGCTATAAAGGGGATATCTAAAGCAAGTGACAACCATCTTCTGAAGTTTGTCACAGAAGTTCCTCACGCTGAGTCTATGTCTTCCTCCCTTCCTCAGAAGCCATGGGGGCAATCACGGTTTTTAGAAAAGACAATAATCTCCTATTCCCTCAAAAGGTCCTTTTTCTTCATTTGAATATTGAAATAATGATTCTCGTTGGGGAAAACAAGGAGTTGGTCAATAGACAAGTCCCTCAGAGAAGACTGTAACAGATACCATTCTCAGCCCACCATTTCCTCTAGTGCAAGGATGCCCGTCTACAGCGAACAGCTATTCCCCAGAGCAAGCAAAATGGTACTGCCCCATCACCCTATAAGAAAAAATAGTCAAGTCAGTTAGAAGAATAGTGGTTCTATCAATGATGCCCACCACAGTACAAAGGTGAGACTCTACCAACACACACTGCTTTACCATCTTACTCAGTGGGCACAAGACTACTATGTCCAACTGAATAAACAAAGGGGGTCTACTTGTAGATAGCTAGACCATTAACATGTTGCCAGCAGGAAAAAGGAGTCAGATATAACACAACCACAGATAAAATAGGAATCCCAAAGGCAATTTGGATGCCTCAAATGTTCCCAGAAACCCACCTGTAGTTATGAACCCACCATCCCCTCCAACACCTCTTCTAATAGTATATAGGTAGTCGCAGGAGCAGATTTTCCTTGTAAGTTACATAGAGGCACTACATTCACACTGGAAATGCTTAGTAAACACTGCTTTAAAAAAAAAAGATTTTTTTTTTTATTTATTTGACAGACAGAGATCACAAGTAGGCAGAGAGGTAGGTGGGATGTGGAGGGGGAAATAGGCTTCCTGCTGAACAGAGACCCCGATGCGGGGCTCGATCCCAGGACCTTGAGATCATGACCTGAGCCGAAGGCAGAGGCTTAACCCACTGAGCCACCCAGATGCCCCAGCACTGCTTTAAATAGTGAATAAATGATGGAGAATTCTGCTACTTCTGAATTACATATCTGGGCCTAACACCAAAAGTCGTTCTCCCCCAGCCTGTTACATAAGAATTGTATTTATACCCCTGAGTTCCTACATAATCCACTCAAACAGTAGTTCTCTATGGAGAATATGGACTTAAAAGCCATGAGGTTTCCTGTTGTGATTGCAGTCAAGTATTTTAAAAGTCGCTACTTTTTCATAAATGACAGAGTATTTTTTCTTCTGCCTCTAGCATAGATCAGTAAACTGTGATTAAAAAATAATAATAATAAAACAGGGGCACCTGGGTGGCTCAGTTGGTTAAGTAGCTACCTTTGGCTCAGGTCATGATCCCAGGGTCCTGGGATCGAGACCCATGTTGGGATCTCTGCTCGGTGGGGAGTCTGCTTCCCCCTCTGCCTGTCACTCCCCCAGCTTGTGCTCTCTTTCTCTGTGTCAAATAAATCAGTAAAATATTTTTTAAAAAAAACAATTTTTTAACAAAAGCAACTCTATCAGTCAGAATTTGAAGTATTGGTGAGGACTAGGTATAATGCAATTGTGATGTTCCAGTTTTATTTGTTTAGGTGGGGGTGGGGTGCGGTGGTTGTTTTTACACTGAGGTCTGTCTGGTAAAGCAGCATAAGTACTCCCGCTTTAACAAATTCTTGTACAGAGTAGACTTTCAAAAGGGAAGACAAATCTAGAGATGAATAGTAAGTTCCCTGGTTCAGAGTTTCAATTTGGTTATCTTATTTTGGGATAAGTACATTTAGTCTTAATTATATCCATCTGCTGACCTATGAGCAAATGTGCTACAATATTTAATACCAGGACCATGAAGTTACTCAGCTCCCAAGTAGTAAATATCCGCTAGTTTTTAAAAGGAAGAATTGGGGCGCCTGGGTGGCTCAGTGGGTTAAGCCTCTGCCTTCGGCTCAGGTCATGATCTCAGGGTCCTGGGATCGAGCCCCACATTGGGCTCTCTGCACAGCGGGGAGCCTGCTTCCCCCTCTCTCTCTCTGCCTGCCTCTCTGCCTACTTGTGATCTCTCTCTCTCTGTTGAATAAATAAATAAAATCTTTAAAAATAAATAAATAAATAATAAATAAATAAATAAAAGGAAGAATTGGGGAAACTATTTTATATTTGTTGCATATAAATATGTGTATGTACAGATCTTTCTTGGCTTACAATGGGGTTACATCTTGATTAACCTATCATAAGTTGAAAATGTATTGAATATAGCTAGCCTACTGAACATTGCAGGTTAGCTTAGCCTACCTTACATGTCTCCGAACACCTACAGTAGCGTACAGTTGAGCAAAATCACCCAAGAGACTATTTTATTATAAAGTGTTGAGTATCTCATGTAACTTACTAAATACTGTACTAAACATGAAACAAAGAATGGCTATATGGGTACAGAATGGCTGGAAGGGTATTAGTTGTCTTCCTTTGATCATATGACTCACTGCAGCTATGTCGCTGCTGTCCAGCATCACAAGAGAGTATTGGGACCATATACTGGTCCAATATTGGACCATATAAGAAAAGATCCAAATTCAGAATTCCAAGTACAGTTTCTACTGAATGTATATCACTTTCACACCATCATAAATTCAAAAGATCATAAGATGAACCAGTATAAGTCAGGGTCTGTCTATATGTGATTTGAATTACAAATGATTAGGCTTCACATATAAATTACCACATTAATTAGCTTGCTATCTACCAGATATCTAGTTGCAATTTTGAACAGTTTTGTTTACTGTTATTAGAATTTCTGGTTAGCATCAATAAAATAATTGTTTCTACTTATTTATCTCATAGGAAGCTATAAAATTATTGATAGTGTGTCTAAAATGATGTTTTTAACTTCTTGAGACAATACAGAGAAGATGTAATTTTATCATACTAGTTTAGTTTGGATTAATCTTTAAGTTTTAGTAATTATATTAGAAAGGATTTAATAGACAGAAGAACTATAAATGGTCATTTTAGTTGGGAGTTATAACAAGTATGATAGAAGTATCACTTTTTAAATGATTACCAAAGAAATTTTTCTTTGTTTTCTAATTTAATAAGATGTCCCAAGTAGCATAGGAGAAACCTCATTAAGTGCTTAGACAACTGCATTTTATTTGTTGTCTTACCATTGTTCATCTATAGGAAGAGAACAGTTTTTGAAGCACTGTCCTGCACTCATTTCCAAGAAAGAAAAAAAGAATTTTCTAACCCAATTATTGTGGGCTGAATATTTGTATCCCCCTAAAGTTCATATGCTGAAACCTTAATTTCTATTGTGATGTATTTGGAGGTGGAGCCTGTAGGAGGTAATTGGGTCATAAGAATGGAGCCCCACCATGGGGATTAGTGTCCTTTTAAGGAGAGGAAGAGAGCCAACCCTTCTTGCTCCCTGCCATGTGATGATACAAGAAAAGGGTCATCTGCAAATCAGGAAGAAGATTCTCACCAGACATTGGCTCTCTGGCATCTTACACTTCCCAGCCTCTAGAACTGTGAGGAAAAACTTGCTTTTGTTTAAGCCACCGAGTCATGGTATATTTGTTCCAGCAGCCCAAACTAAGACACCAATGTTATCACCTAGCTGCGGATCAGAATGACAAGTGAAACTTTTACAAATACAGGTTCTTGTGACCATGTTGAGAGCTGCTGACCCACCATATTTACAAAAGAAATCGCTCTTTTTACTACTGCCCAGTGGATGGAAATGCAGAAAACAGAATTTGGGAGTCATTGTGTTTTCCAATCAGTGAAGAAGAATTAGAAAGACTGTCATCAATGGTAAGTTAAATCAGACATGAAAGTGGAAAGCTCATCTGAAATTGCTTCCTACCATTTGTTTAAAAATTACATCTGATCAGGCATTTTAGTACAATCTATGTAACCATCGTACATACTTGTCCATTAATTTAGCAAACTAATGGAATAAGAAGTACTTAAAAGAAATAAGGTCCACTGAATAGTGCACAGATATGATGCTATTAGGAAATGTCACCAATTGATTGTCTAGGAACTGATATTAATTGGGGCTTTTTATTATCAGTAATAAAACTCATATTTAAGACCACTAAAATGAAAATAAATATCCTCCACTCCCATTGAAAGATCTATTATTCCAAAAGAGGAAACTGGGGCACTGAAGTATGGTGTGCCTTACCTCCCTCTCCCTTCTAATTGTCACCATCAGCGCCAACCTCTTTCATGAAATCTTGAGTTCAACCTTGTGAAGATTTTCAAATTTTCTGAAGACAAAGTAAGTAAATATTTCTCTCCTGCTGCATCGTCTATAGTCTGTACTAATAATCATCCATTCCTCCAATCTGGAGGCTCTGGATTGAAAACTATGATTCTCCTCTCTCGAGACGGAATAAACCAATATAGGGAGGCTGAAATTGCATCCTCTGCTCATAGATATGAATCCAACACTGAACCCATAACCTGATGCTCCATGCTTCAACCCTAGCTGGTGGAAAGAGGATCGTGCTTGGTCCCCCTAATAAACGCTAGGACTGCCACCCTACTAAACCACAAAGGGTTCACATTTCATCACACTGTCTTGTTCCTTGAGGGAAATGAAATTTCACTTGGAATTAGTCACTTCAGTTCATCACATTCACTGAACATTCATCCCAGACATAGAAAAGTAGTTTCAGGGGCACCTGGATGGCTCAGTGGGTTAAGCCTCTGCCTTCAGCTCAGGTCATGATCCTACGGTCCTGGGATCAAGCCCTGCATCAGG